GACGGAAGTGACCCCAGACAGGCGGCAGAACTTGCTGGGGGTCGCGAGACCGCTCGCGACGGCTACCAGGGACAGCAGTGTCGGTGTCTGCCGGGTGCAGACTGCGCCCGGTGCTGGTCATGCGCGAAGTCGTGCCATCTCAGGAGCGCCTTTCGGGGCTGGCGCCGTGGCCAGTCTCGTTTCATACAGCAGGAGACTCGGGATCAGAGCGGTCACTTGCCCAAACCAACACGTGCAGTCAAGGGCAGAGCCGGCATCCAGCCCCGACCTGGGAGCTTGAAACCCCTCTGACAGTCCTTCCCAGCTCCTAGCTCACTCTCCCTGCCGTGCCACCGTGCCCTGTGACACTTCCATCCCGAGAAATGGAGATATTTCTAGAGCCGGAGAGATGAGTGTTTGGAACTCGCGGCCAGGGAAGGGTAAGGTGCTTCCAACCCGGGTAATGGCGGATTAAAGACTCTGCTTCCGCGGTTCAGGTCCGAGGGCAGACCAGAACTTGGCTCACCTGGTGGGTGAATCTTGTGATACCTGGGATTGGAGCTCGGTTTGGTAGAAGAGCTATTGACTTCTTGATCTTCGCTTGGATTGGGGTTCCTTTCTGGATCTTTGATCCGGGTTCTTCTCATATACCAGAGAGATTGAAATGCAGAAAAGGAGTTCCTCGTAAGCCTTCTCCAGAATGATCCGAGGTTGGGAAGACCGGTAACCCTCCGGAAAGGTAGCACAGGCTTCCAGGTGGATTCTAGGGCCAGAATCCTTCCCCCACAGTGGCTGCAAATGTCAACAGGTATTTTCCTCATGGCCACAACCCCACCTCGGAAATTAGGAAAGGGTAGAGGACACCCCTATTTTCACCGGAAACAAGTAGGCCCCAGAGCCCAAGTTATAACTCTTGGCAGGGGAGTCCCAACCCCTCAGTCTTATTTCCAGAATCCTCTTCTGGATATGGTGGCAGAGCATAAACAAAACTCATTTACACCTCACGACTACCATTGACTTTGACCGACCAGATGGGCAGACAGAGATGAAAACGGAAAGCAAGGAGAGGAGGAACAGACTCGGGGCGCATGGGAGAGGCGCATGTGGCACCAAGGGATCCCCTCGTGCAGCTGCCCTGTCGCTCTTCCCCAAGACACCCCTCAGAGCTCTTTTGACCGCGAGCCCCGAGTCAGTGGAGGAGTTAGAAGAATAAATGGTGAGGAGCTGGGCATCAGGTAAGCAGTGATGGTAGAGAGGCTACTGGCCCTCTCAGGGACCTCACTGAGTTTCCATCAGTGCGGGAAGATGTCAGATCTCTCCTCTTTTCCCCCTTCTCACCCAACAAGGGAAAATAAACTAGGGCTCTAGTTTTCTGCAGCCCTTCTTCTCGGTCCCTCCCCGCCTGTTCCAGGCTGGAGAGTGGAAGCAAACACCTCACAGTGAGAGTCTGCTCCTGCCGAGTTGGTGGAGGTGCGCGTTGGTGGAGGTGCGCGGGGCCCCAGGAGAGTCAGGAAAGCAACAGGATGGGGACTGTCTTCGGCATACTCCGCGGCATACCATACAGTCAGCTCCAGTTAGTCCAAGAACCTTTATTGGAAAAATGTCCAAGGGCAAGCTTGCCAGCAGCCGGTGCTGCCGGGCCAGGGGGAGCACCTGGGGCTCCATGGAAGACATTGGAGTAGTGTGGCTCAGCGGCCGCCTCCGGCTCAGACCTTCCTTTCACTTGCCAGGGAAGGGAAGTGCCCACGGAAACACCCCCTCACTGAGGCCCAGAGGCAAGATGCAGGGGGCCGCTGGGGGTGCTGAGAGTCCTGATACAGGCGAAATGGGGCCCCCATTTGGGACCTAATGTGATAGGGTGGAACAGGTGACTCCTGGCCCTGGGGAGGGTGGATATCCCACCTGCTGTTCACTCCCCAGGTCCAGGGCACTAACCTACCTTCTGGCTCTGCTCACAGTGGAGAGAGGATGGGTACCAGGCCTGAGACTGTGGGAGTGGGTCACCCCCTTAGGCTGTCCCCAACCCCATCCCCATCCCCAGGCTGTCAGTGCTTCTCTTCTGCTTCTGTTTCTTCACTCAAACGTCGATAGTGTTGATGGATGGTGACTTCTTCTGTGAACGAAAAGGGCCCACGTCTTGAATTTCAGGAAGGTAAGTGCCACCTGTCGCTGCTCCTGCTGCGCCCACCCCGGCCTTCCCTTCTCAGTCTTTTCCTGCCCCCCCACCCCATGGCCTTCTTGATTTCCCTGGATGCCCCACAGTGACAGAATCACCCTTCCCGCCTTCCCGCCCTCACCGGCCCCCACGTCACCTGTCTTGTCCCCACCGGCCTTCCCTGAGGACTCTGTTCCGGCCCCTTTCCCTTCTCTTTGGGGTTGTTGTTGGAGTCGTTGTCCTTGATGATGTCATACTGACGGCAGAACAGCCCAATTACAGCTGAAACACAACACAATCTGAGCCTTTGCCTTAACCTTCCCCCTCAGCCTTGAAGAGTAATGAGATGCCCACACAACTTCTAGAAAACCCAAGAAGTCCAGAATTCCTAGCGCCCATGCAGTCCTCTGGGCTCCCTTTCTTCAAGCTTCTGCTCCTCCCTCCTCAGCAAGGCATCTCCCCACCTCATTCCTCTCACCCTTTCTCCTGACAACCTTCCCCATCTCCCACCTCCACTGAGTGCCCCTCCCCGAGTCTGTGGTCGAGTCTGGCTGCGTGCTCACCAGCCCACATGAGCAACACCACCACGATGATGACCACTTCCCCGGTCTGCAGTGGCCGCTCTCCATCCAGACCCTCCACTGTGATGTCACCTGAGAAAGGCGAGGATAGCCAGGGGTTATGAGGAGCAGCCAGAGAGCCGCATCTACAGCCGCATCTATGCAGATACGAGCAGGACCCAGACGCGGGGTTATCAGAGTTTAGCAGACCCATCTCGGTGCTGCCCCTCTCTGGGAGGAAGCCATTGGAGGATAGGGGGCCAGGAAGCAGGCTGGCTGCAGGAGGGTACTCACTGGTGCAGGCTGCAGCTGGAATGAGACGGAGGTGGAGACCGGAAGCGGACAAGCCCTTCCCCATGGGAGTCCACGCCAGCCTGTCGACAGTCCCCTGCCCGGCTGCTTCCCCTCCCTCTCCGGGCAGGGCCATGCACTAAACCCCCCTCCTGTGCGTCTCCCTGGACTGTGGCCAGCGGAATCCAGAAAAGCCAGGAGAGCGCGGGAATTCAGCAGCGCAGACCTCACCTGGGCTCGAGCTGTTTGAGGGCAGCCGGTCAGAGCCCTTGAGCGTCCGGAAGTGCACGCGGGGCCCCGGGGGGCTCTCTCCGCGGAGGCCGATGCTGCGGACCTGCACCGTGTAGTCGCTGTCTTCGGCCAGGCCCCACAGGGCGCAGGCCCGCGTGGTGGTGTTCACCTCCCGGATCACACGCTGCCCGGGGCCGTTCTGCCGCTGTGGGAACAGGAGAGCACGGCCTCGCTGGCACTCCTGGCCGGGGAGCACGTCGCCTCCCGGCCGCCCCCACCCCAGCCCCGTGCCGGG